TATTTAAAGAACAATAAAACAAGAACAAGTGTATCCATCATAAACTATTTGTGTATATACACAGAGAGTTAAGCAAATAGAATCTCTCTCACACACACATTATCGAGCGTACGCGTATGTTTTAGGTGCTGTTAACATCAGCAATAAAACTCCACCCGTTACTGCAATAATCGCAGATATAAAGAGTGCCTGTCGTACAATTGCATAAAAAGGCACTATAATCATATCCCAAACCATTCCTGCTCCCGGCACATTATGAAGAAAACGAGGAAGTGAAGGTCCTCCACCAAATGCAGATCCTAATTTATCTATACTTTTACATTGTGCTTTAGCCCCATCTACGCCACGTTGTAAAAGTAACGCATTCGCATCTAAACTTGCACGTTCTTGCTGCATAAAATCACTCATACGAGTGGCTCCTTCTTTCATTCCTTGAATAGCTCCTCTAATATCATCCATTACTTTTTCATACGCCATTGTGGAAGTTTCCCCCACTACTGGAGTAGTTCCCATACTCACAAAAGAAGAAGAACCTTTCAAAGGTGTATTATTATTATTATTATTATTATTATTATTATTATTAATAGTAGAAGTAGTATCTATGGAAGGTTCATCTACATTATATGGACAATCCAACACAGTCGCTGGTACAACTTCCCCACGTGTATCTTCGTGCAGTAGAAACAACGACTGATGTGCAAACGGTGGTTTAGAATAACGACTCTCGCAGAGTAAACCCACACAGGAAAGAGGAACTTCACTATTTGGAATATATTGAGAGAGAAACTCGGATAAAAATAATTCTGTACGAGAGATTAACATTATAGTCTTTTCATCTGGAATAATATTCACACGAGTAAAGTGAAGTTTAAGAGAAGATAAAAGAAATCCTAAACGTCGTATATACTTTAAGAGTTCCCGCTCTTCTTCTTCTTGTTGTTGTTTCTTCACAGTGGGAGAAATGAAATCTTTTGTAATGTCATTATAAAGTTGTTGAGCTTCAGATAAGGCTCGACTCAGACGATTTAGGCGAGACTCCATCTATACATAATACTGTTAAGATACCTTTTAAAAAGAGAAAAAAAAGAGAAAAAAGGGAAAAAAAAAGAAGAGGAATTCACATAAATATATATATATATATATATATATAAAGAAAAAAGTAAACTATTACATAAAATACAAGTTATCAACATAATTCATTCTATTTATTTACTTTTTTTTTGTTTTTCGTTTTTTTTTTTCGAGAATAGAAGGATATTTCTCTTTTGTGATTGAATACCAATGAAGAAGCAAAAAAAGAAAAAGAAAAAAGGAAAAAAGAAAAGAAAAAACTTATGGATTAATCCGTTTTCTCCGTAGAAGCAAGATGTGTATAAGCATCCATTAATTGCTGTGCATAATAACGTAATACCCGTACTTCTTCATAAACCCCCTCTGCAGAGTGAAGTAAGACAGAAGAGATCATACAACCCTTAGCAAATAAGGCATAAGCTAAATGATGTCTATTCATACATGTAATTAACGGAATATTATGTAAAATGCAGAGAGAACGAATTTCATCTATTGTTCCAGAGACACCCAAATCATTTACTGTTTTTCTTTTCGTATTCTGTATATAAAGTTGATGCTTCTCATGTTCGTTCTTTTCCATTCCAGAAAAAGAAGAAAAAGAAGAAGAAGGATTATTCGTTAACTCAATATCTGCAGCAAGAAGTACAAGAGGGATACGAGTAGCAAAAGCACGTAATCCTTTCAAAGTCTCTCGAAGTCCAGTAGAATACATACGTCTTGCCTTAAATTGTAATGGTTTCTCTTTTTTTAAGGCTCTCTGTAAATGATATTGTTTTTGTAAAATAGTAAAAACAAGATCATCCAATGCATTGGTCATTATATTTCTACAGTAAGTCGCTACATAATGATTACCAGAAGGAGAGGAAGTGGATAATGTCTTTGTATAGATGGACTCTGCTGAGATGGAACGTAAATCATTTATCTCATCTTTAGTGAGATGCTTTAGATATCTTCTTTTATTATTATTACTTTTATTATTATTACTATTATTACTATTACTATTATTACTACTGCGTTGATCAATAAACGCCGCAAGAGGATGTTCACCCACACCCATTTGAGCAATAGAAGGATAGAAGTTCATATAATTTGGCTCCTGCATCTCATCTATAGAATGATGTAAACTATTATGAAGAGGTTTCTCTGATGAGGCTGGTATATCCATAGAAGAAACAACACCATTTTGTGGAGATTCCAATGAAGTATGATGATGTTGTTGATCTTTTTGAAAAAGAGTAGAGGTGATATTCACATCCTCAGCAGAAGAACCTTCCTTCTTCTTCTTCTTCTTCTCTATACATGTACGCCAATTTAATGCAGTTCTATCAAGACGATATTTTAATCCTCTTATATGTTTTACGTACCGACCCGCTCGTTTGTAGTCTTTACTTCGCATGGACTGATGAAGTCTAATGTACACTAATTCCATCTCGGAAACAAGAGACTGCATATTTCGTAATAACTCCTGACGTGTAGCCTCTGTAGTACTCTCTGTTGATAATGTTGATGTTGATGTTGATGATGATAATAATAATAATGGATCATCTTGAGAGGGAGATGTAGTTACGTTATCATTATAATCTTCATTAGGATGAACAGTATCAGCATTTCTAGTAATAGTATTAATATTATTAATATTATTATTATTATTATTATTATTATTATTATTATTATTATGTGTAGAGAGTGTGGATAGTATATCATGTCCTCTTACGATAGAAGCAGTGAGAGCCTCAAACACGGATTTTCTATCTTTCACAATGGCCCGCTTGAGTTTAGAAAAACGAGCCCAATGACTAAACGGTGCCTCTGGATCTCGTTGTTTTCCCTTTAATCTTTGTTGTCCATTATTAAGAAAAAGATTAGAAGTTGTTGTTATTGTTGGATTCTTTCTTCTCTTTAGTATAGATGGAACTCCTTTACTCCTATGGTGGATCGTATAATGATGACCTTCTTGTTGTTGTTTAGATGTTTGTTTACGTTTTTCTTTTTGTGTAGATAACAACAAAGATGATGATGATAATAATAATGATAATTGTTGTTGTTGGGGAATAAAATCACACATGCGAATATGATCTCTTTGTGGTTTTCTTCTTCTCTTGTTGTGTATAAACAATGGTGTGGGATTACAGTTCTGTGGAGAGAGTGATGATTGTGTACTCTTCTCATGTACTTTACATGTCTCTGACATGTTTACTGCAATGTGAATAGAAATAAATAATAATAAAAAGAAGAAGAAAAGAAAAGAAAGAGACTAATAATAATAATAATATGACTATTAAGAGAAAAGCCATAAAGAAAAAGAAAAAGAAAGGAATATAAAAGTAAAAAAAAAAAAAAACAGTTATACTGGAAATATTTTTCTAAGAGTAAACCAATATTATATCAGTTCGCTTTCAGACCTTAAAGAGATGTAAAAGAAAAGGAAAAAACAATAAAAATAATAAAGAATAATAATAAAAATAATAAAAAGAAGAAGAAAAGGTGAAAAAAAGAAAAATCTCACGATTTGAAATAGAAATAGACCTTTATCTTAACACCACTTTCCCCTACAATTGATTTACTTAGATAGTGTGAAGGGATGAAGAAAACCAAAAAAAAAAAAGAATTGAAATAAAAGGGAACACGATCCTTAATAAATAATAAATAACAAATAATAATAAACATATAATAATCATATAAAACTAAAATATAGGTATGAAAATTGAATAAGGATAACGAACAGAAAAAAAAAAAACAAAATCATACCAATACAAGACACCATATATATATATTTGAATTAGTTCATTTGATCTAAACATAGTAGTACAAGCGTTTCTTTTCCCCACTATACACCAAACAAGTATCATTTCAATAGCTATCGTTGTGAAGATCTTCTTTTTTTCTTTTTTTTCTCTCTCATACGCACATCTTCATCATTAATATTATCCTCTCTCTCTCTCTCTCTTTATTAGTTCGACATTATTTTTTCTTTATTGTGTGTCTATTTTTCTTGTTAGTACTTCTTCACAGCCCTCAATCGGTCCTTTCAGGCTTCTTTTTTATTAGTCTCTAACCCGTTATCAGAGTAAATCACCCCATGATTCGCGTTTATTATATTTTACAAATCCCCCTTCTTCTTTTCTCATTTTATCGTTCACTTTTGTTGTTACTATTAATTATTATTATTATTATTATTATTATTATTATTATTATTATTATTATTATTATTATTA